GAGCCGTATCTTGGTCCACTATACAGAAGCTATCGTTTAAATTTCAAACTGTAAGATCCCTGAAAGAGTTCTCCTCAATGGAGCAATATGTAAAAGGTTTTCAAAGGTTTTACGCAGGTGAAGATGTGCGGCCTGTCACCTCTTGCAAGTTTTTAATTCCATCAACTCTGGGGGTGAAGATGTCATCCTTGCCTTTATATCGATGACGAGGAAGAAGTTGAGAGGCCAGCAACGACACGCTCTGGAAGATCCATAAACGGAAGATCGGAAATTGACTTTTTGACTTTGAAAAATATTGAAGAAGTACCTTACAATGGACAGAATTTATTTTTTGAGTTAACAGAAGTGGCTGCTACATCTGTAGAATGAGTTGTCAACAGCTTTACATTGAAGAGAAAATACAAATCATATTGTACACTGCAAAATATGCATGTGAGGTTTAATTACGATAATGTCTCTTTTGAAAGGAGGGGGGCCACCCCCAAAAAATGACCGTCTTTGGGGGGCGGGGGGGGAGGGACATGAGAAAAAATGAGGACTGAGTGGGCGGGGCCATGGTAATTCGTAATGGGGGTTCAAAAAATTCCACCAGCCTCCCCTATCTCGTAAAAAATGAACGGTCCCTAATGCAACATTTCAAAGGATTAAATTTTTTAAGCTGAAATTTATTTGAATTTCCTTAAACATTTTTAAAAAGAATAAATACGTAATAGAAATCAATATCGGCGCTTATTTATTGTTTTTAAGTATACCGAAAGAACAATATTTTTTATATTGAAGTCAACGGATCGCTGCATGACTTTCCACCAGTTTTACTCTCAAATTTGTTAATTTCTTTACTTAATTATCGAAAATACTGGTTTTTCAGTATACTGCACAGTCCTTTTCTAAAGTGTTTTTATTCGATAGCTATCGCGGGTTCAGCCGTTTGATTAGACTTTCGTGTTTACATTGTGTTCGAATACTAGGAATGAAGGAAGGGAGAGAGCTTCATCATTAAACGTTCATTTTATATTTTACTGTATTTGAATGGCAATCAACTAGTAATAACAAAAGGTTGCAAAGTGCGGGTGACAACGATTGAAGGTCGAAATTAATTACGCTTTTGCTCCGACGCTTTGCTTTGCGCAAGTTTCACGTGATAGTCGGTCAAAACACACGCCCTGATCAGATCACCAGTGATGATAGAAGGTCCAATCACGAGTGATCAAATTGCGTTCTGTGCTTTCCATTCATTCTTAGTGGAAGTCCAAACGAATCCTGGCCACGGACATGCGACGCATGCTTAATAACAGCCTGGAGATTAAGATTGCGGGCTCCTCTTGTCGCCCGCAATTAAGGTATGGGACTGGGAAAGTTACATAGTAAAATTCTATTAAATGCATTTAATTTATCAGGCGTTTTCCACTGAGTATACTTATTATGCATGTATTTCGTTTTGTCCATATTTGAACTCTCTAGTACTGATGCCCGTTTTGAATTAAGAGTTGTATATAAACTTCTTTTAAACTTCACAAATTAGGATATTTGCGATGCAGGAGTGTTAATGGATTCGTTCTTTGCGTCCTGCTTCCGAAATAAGTGGCATCGAACGCACTTTACTAAATTTTTGTATATCAGTAGTCAATTCGGAATTTGCAAGGAAGAACCAAAGCACAACCGTTTTAAAGATTTTGAGACTAGAGGGAGGAAGTTTTCAAATTTTAGTCCCTTTATAAAATCTACTTGCGGTGGACTGAGTGTTCAAGAAATTCTTTAAGACTGAACGGGCCATCTTGCTCGATTACCACATTTTGTTAAAAGACAAGTGACGGTCAAGTGTTTTTTTTTCAGTGCGCCTTGCTAGTGGTATTAAGAGGGTCTGGGTGGGGTTAAGTGACAACTGACAAATGGCCAAAATTTTAACTGACAAATGACATTTCATTGGGTTTTACTGACAACTGACGAAGGACCTGATTGACCCTTATTTTCTATAAAACCCGTTTTAAAGCCTTAAATAGCATTGTGATCAAATGTGCGTCTTTTGGGGGTAATCTTAGCAGCAAGACACTTAAGTGTCATATTTCGTTAATGATTTACTGTAATAACCATGTCATGTTACCATCTGTGGTAAAAATGACCTATGATCTCAAATTTACGCTCCTCTGAGACCGCGCCAGCATACGATGGCTGCTAATGAGGGCGTTACAAAAGCAATTGCAAGTCTTTTCCGAGATGATTCAGATATTGTCTTTCTTTCGATCTACGTCCCAATAATATATTCTGAAGGTATAAATTTTGATTGGCATAATGGTTGGAAACGTTGGACTCTGGGCCAGCAAAAACGTTGGAGTGGAGGGGAGTAACACAAGACTTGAGAAATGGAGGGCCACTTGAAATGCTAACAATAGCAAAACTGATAAAAATTAAGGTACTATTGCATCAGTTTTGGAATTTAATCATTAATTTTAATTACATTATATGTGTCTTTAAAGCTAAATTTCGCATCAAAAATATACAAACAAGTTTCATAGTTAATCATTAATAATCATTTAACTGACAACTCGCAAAAAGCCTTAAATTTAACTGAAAACTGACATATGGTCAAAATTTCAACTGACAACTGACATTTGTACCCCCTCATCGAGAGCCTCTATTAACGAGGGTGTGTGCTTCTTGGCGAAGAGCCACTGCCCGTATGGCTATGAGAATCTCTCTTAAATTGACTCATCTCCATTCTTCTCACTTACGTAAATGAAGCAGTCTCGCAAGATAAATACGTTGAGCATTTGTGAGCGCTTTTGTCAGCAGAGGGAGCTTTTAGTTGACCTGACTAATTAGATCCGATTTTTATCTTTTAGACATTCTTAGTCATGTTTTGCTTTGTAAAATCGATCCAATTTGTTATTCTTATCGTTTCTTCATTATTTGTAATACGCATATGAATATATTGTTATGGTTCATGCGTAATATGTTTCATTTTTGGCGGTGATTACTGGTAGGTAGAAAAGTATTTTCATGCTGAATTTGCAACAAAATCGTAAAAAAGCACTTGACAAAATCCCTGAAGTGTTGGTAAATTGGAAATAAAGTTCCCACTAAGTAACGTTTTTAATTTACAAAAAGGTACTTTTTCTCATTTTTATCCGACTGATTTGGTAAATACTAAAACAACTTCCACTTCGGGGGATAGTTGTATATTATGGGCACGTCCAAACTGAATATTTAATTGAGCTTACTTTACACTATATTTATCCCAGATTGGGGTATCTTGTATGAGAGATCTCATGAGTATTGTGGCTAGCTTTCTCGTACTAGGATAAGTGAATATTTCTTAATATACACGTTCTACTCAACTTGGCCGACCCAAAATACTAAGATGAGCATCTTATTTCTAAACTGAATTTTCTCTGTACACGTTAAAAGCAATTAACAAATGAAATCTATGAGCTCTCAAAAAACTGAAAGTCAACTATTTAATACCTATTCGAGCTGGGAAAGTTCACTTGATAACAACTCATCACATGGTCCGTTCGAGAACGATTGGTTGTACAGCGCATTGTTAAAGGGGCTTATGTTACGCATCTGCTATCCTGGTTTTTGAAAGCTTAAAGGCGTGTTTGCATGTACAAAAAGTGCCAGAAATAATGTTCCAGTTTTGTTATTTGAGACTATATTTGCATTGAAACTGTTCGCTGTCGTCTGTTGCTATGGATAGCAACCAGTTAAACTGGAGTGAAAGATGATAGCACTTGATCCTGTCTCATGAAGACGATTCCAAATGTACATCAGAAATCCATCTATTTCTTTCGCTGGCCTGCAATGGATTCAAGACAGCAACGACCAAGTTATTATCGGCTCCACTTCTTTGTAAAGGTTGGGTGGGCGCCTAATCCTTAAAATAAGCTCTATAGTTACCGTAAACCCTCTATTAAGCCCCCCAGTTTATTTATTTTTCAACACATTTGGGGGACGGGGGCCTACATAATTTAGCAAAGACGATGGTATCAGTTCTCTTTAAAGAACTATAACTGCAAAATGTAAAAGCTCAAGTACAATGGTTGTATGTCATGCAGCCGAGGATCAGAAACAAATCTGAAAGTTCAGCTGGTGAAAATAACTATCGTGGACCAGTCCACATGAAGTGTTACAGTTGTCGTTCATAAATATAGTATATCGTAAATTTGTGAAGAATAATAAGAGGAGGGGAGGGGAGGGGAGGGGAAGAGGGGCTTAAAAGAGAAGGGGGCTTATTTGAGAGAGGGGGGGATTCATAGAGGATTTACAGTACGGGTGGCCCAAGGAAAATGGATTCTCTTCACCTGAAATTGGGTATAGATTCTGGGCCTGAAATCAGGTGAGCCTAAAATTTGTGCTCCCTGGAAGAAAGGCCTGGAATTGGGTATGTTTTTATTCCGATTTGACTTTTGAGAAAAGCGGTTTAAGTCTCAGAAGGAAAAAACAGTTTGCCAAATTTTCTTAGAGGAGTACCCCACAGGAGCCGGGAATTTGCCCTGCTCACAATACTCTTTCTTCCTGTAGGTGCATTAATTTTTATACCGTGAATAATTCTTTAACTGAACATGAAAAGAAATGCTTATTAGTGGTCGAAAACAAGTGAAGACAGTAATGGTGATAGACTCTGAAAAGTTAACGGCTTAGAGATGAAATCTCTTAAGCTTGATTTACTAGCTGTATTTTTTATATTTTCTTGATTCTCTTTTAATCTATGAATGAAAGACTCAGGTGTGAAAATTCAAATGAAGCTACATCTTCGTTTGCCACTTTCTTGTTTACTACATCAGTTGTACAAAGTGTTATTCTTATTCTGCTGATCTGCGGATTAAATGACTACTTTTCTGTCGTGTTGTTTGTTTCTCAGTGGTAATTTGCGGAAAGTAAAAGGCTTCCAGGTCTCCAAACAATCAGGAGTGGAGCCAAAGATAAACGTCCTTTCATTTCTCACGTCTACGAACATGTGATTATTTTTCTATCTCATCGCACAGAGAGGACCTCACCTTTTATTGGCCAAAATCCATTGTTACGTCATCACCAATCAGCACGAATGGAGCCCAGTACTTCACGGCCTTGAATTTTTCCGTCTCCCGCATCCTTTTCATGGCATGTTGAAGTGACTTACTTGCACTTTTCCCTGCTACTAAATGTTCGTAAAAGTGTCTCATAAACGCAAGAGTGGCTTCGTCATCAATCGCCCACAGTGTGGCAATAACAGAACGCGCACCAGCTCCTAAAAAGGCACGTGCAATACCAACCACTCCTTCGACTTTGATATTTCCTCGCCCACTGTTGCAGCAGCTTAAGACAACAAGCTTGGCGCGCACTTTTGCATCCAACACATCTGCCATCGTCAAAAGAAAGTCTTTCTCTTTAGGTCTTTTGGCACTACTAGAAAAATTAGGAGACAAAATGATTCCTCCGGTTTCTGTACGACCATGAGCTGCTATGTGCACTAATGAAACTGAGTTGAGCCCGCTTAAAACCCGATCTTTTGTGGCGTTCTTTCCGGTGAGAGGCTCGATGTTTAGAATTTGCCCAATCATTTTTACCTCTTCCTCAGCACCTGGAAGCTGCGGAAACGGTTTGCAGCCTTTGATGCGTACAGTTTCCACCCACGGGTTGCCAACAAGTAGAGCCTCGGATGAACTACGGCGGTCCTCCGGACATTCTGCCAGCAGCCATAAGCTTGTCAGTGATGGAATCAATCTAATTCTACGCGTTTCATTTAAATACCTGGAGTTTTGGTCCACGAGGGCAACATAAGGAATCAAGAACGATGAACCGTCAGGGACAATGACGAGTTCGTCACCTATCGAGTGTGAAATTGGAGCGATGAATATGTCGTATAATACTTTTAAAGCACCACCCTGGTCTTCGATCTCTCTCTGCAGCTGGGGGCGAATCTTTTTCCACAGGCTTTTGTTCACACCAATCTGTTTGTATGTTTGGTAAGTCATTGATGTCAAGTCATCACTGCTAACTTCCTGTTGCACAAAGTCACAAAGCTTTCCCCACTTTAACAGCATCCAGATATTCACTGACTGGGTATCATTCATTAGAAATAACGTGGGTGACGAAATATGGTTTGAAATGATAAGTTCCATCTGCTGTTTCGGCTGTGAACGAATCGATTTCCTGACACCATATTGCGATTCCAAGAGGTCCATAAGAGCTTCTGCTCGTCCCCTCTCAGCTGTTAAAAGCGCCTCGAGTGTTACGTTCAGTGCGTTGTTGTAACTGTAGTCTCACTAAACGACTAACGCAATCACGTTCATTCCGAAAGCTGATTTTCCACTCGTCGTTTCCTTCAAGAAGGACTCTCATTTCCTCTACCAGTTCAATACAGGATTTAAAACACTCCTCGGCTTTGGAGTACTCGTCAAGACACCAAAGAACTTGAGCAAGTCTATCATATCCGCATTGTTCAACATCTTTGTTTCCAGTCTCCTTTGCTATACTTGTGGCTAGCTGATAAAATTCCATCGCTCTTTTGGAATTACCGAGACGCTTATAGACATCGCCGAGGTTTATATATGTAGGTCCTTCTCCATTTTTCATCCCAGTATCTTTTGTGATTCTTAGACTCAGCTCATAAAGCTCGATCGCTTTATTAAAATCACCGAGAGACTGATTGACGACGCCAAGGTTGTTATATACAGCTGCTTCTTGACATTTGTTTTCAGTATCTTTTGCGATTCTTAGAGCCACCTGATTAAACTCCATTGCTTTTTGGAAATCACTAAGACAATTATACGCACTGCCAAGGTTGTTATATATAGCTCCTTCTTGATCTTTGTTTCCAGTATCTTTTGCGATTTTTAGAGCCAGCTGATAAAACTCGATTGCTTTTTTGAACTCACTGAGAGACTGATAGGTACTGCCAAGGTTGTTATATCTAGTTCCTTCTCCATCTTTGTTTCCAGTATCTCTTGCGATTTTTAGAGCCAGCTGATAAAACTCGATTGCTTTTTTGAACTCACTGAGAGACTCATAGGCACTGCCGAGGTTGTTATATGTAGTTCCTTCTTGATCTTTGTTTCCAGTATCTTTTGCGATTTTTAGAGCCAGCTGGTAAAACTCGATTGCTTTTTTGAACTCACTGAGAGACTGATAGGCAAGGCCAAGGTTGTTATATATAGTTCCTTCTTGATCTTTGTTTCCAGTATCTTTTGCGATTTTTAGAGCCAGCTGATAAAACTCGATTGCTTTTTTGAACTCACTGAGAGACTGATAGGCACTGCCAAGGTTGTTATATCTAGTTCCTTCTCCATCTTTGTTTCCAGTATCTCTTGCGATTTTTAGAGCCAGCTGATAAAACTCGATTGCTTTTTTGAACTCACTGAGAGACTCATAGGCACTGCCGAGGTTGTTATATGTAGTTCCTTCTTGATCTTTGTTTCCAGTATCTTTTGCGATTTTTAGAGCCAGCTGATAAAACTCGATTGCTTTTTTGAACTCACTGAGAGACTGATAGGCAAGGCCAAGGTTGTTATATATAGTTCCTTCTTGATCTTTGTTTCTAGTATCTTTTGCGATTTTTAGAGCCAGCTGATAAAACTCGATTGCTTTTTTGAACTTACTGAGAGACTTATAGGCACTGCCAAGGTTGTTATATATAGTTCCTTCTTGATCTTTGTTTCCAGTATCTTTTGCGATTTTTAGAGCCAGCTGATAAAACTCGATTGCTTTTTTGAAATCACTCAGATGGTGATGGGCGAGGCCAAGGTTGCCAAGGCTAACGATTTCTGCGTCTTTATTCCCGATCTCTCTTGCTTCATTCAAAGTCATCTCGAAGTAATCCCGCGCTATTTTAAAATCACCGCGTTTAAAGGCTTTTTCTCCAAGGTAATTACTGACAACCAATTTGTTGTGGAAGTTTGTTCGGGTTTTCCATGTTTGCCTTTACTTCCTGGGCATGCCTAGAAAAAAATGTAAAACAAACCCTCTTTTGAAGCAAGTTATGGTATAGAAGATGTTTTTAATGTAAAGTTATACCCTTTTTGAGGAAGAAAATAGCCCGCAAGATTTTTGGTGGCAACCAACTCTCCCCTTGCGGATACCTCGATATTTCGGACGACCCCTGCTAACACAGCCAAGTGCCCAGCAATACAAACTCCCGCTATTACTCGCTTGAGCCAGATTGTGGCTTTGAAATAAATTAGCTCATAATATAGCTCGGACAGCAAGTTTCTAGAGTATATATACTCAAGTATAGAAGTATTACCAATGAACTTTATTTCTTAAGCGGATAAATCTACAAGAGCTGATATTTGACCAATCCGCCTTGACTTTGGCGGCTCACGAAGTAAGCCAAAAGTCCATTTATTTTCGCGGCTTTAAAATTTATCGTACAGAGAATCAAAGGGCGTTTTACATTGAGCCAAAACTTTCGAAAATTTGGAAACAGCGGCAAATGGTATAGAGATTTTTCGGAAAAGTTTCTGGACATACCGGAAGCTGTTGAATCAGTCCGAAATGGGAACCATTCAACCAAAAATTCTACCTGGAAATCCCGGGAGCAGAAATGAATGGAAAGAAATCTTCCGTTAAAAAAATTTTCGAAAATTTGGGTATACCTCGCGAGGTTGTCCCTCGGTTTTGGAAGTTTTAAAAAATACTGTTCCGTTTACTACTGGAAGTTGCCGAAAATTCAAAGGGGACGTTTTGGTTGAAGAGAAAGCGCCCAAAGTTTCTTTAAGAAAATTATTTTTCGGTCACTGTGTTTTTTCTAATAGTTATGAACTAATGTTTACTTTCATTGGGCAATTCTGTAAAATAGACATTAACTTCGATCATAGCTCAAACCCTTGAAATCTCATATGTGACTTTTTCAAGCTCCATCATTGGTTGAATCGAAATTAATTCGATGCAAGAAAGACGAACCAGCCATTCACTGTAATTAACCTCCTCCAAAAAGGAACAAATGGTGGTATCCGGCTATTGAATCTCTTCTATTAGAATCAACCGTATAATATCAGTAATATCAAAGGTCACTTCGACCGCTTAATCAAAACAATTCAAAATGCTAATTTATAGAAATAAAATAAAATACCTCGTTGTCCACGGCTCTTCTACTCGTCGCTTTTTCCCTTAGTTCAAGCAACATGGAGTTTTCCGCGTCGATCTTCCAAATTGTTAAGGTGTACACAGTAAAAATATGGAATTTAAGTTGAAGTAGTGTTAACTTGCATTAGTTGGAATATAACTTATCTCATCTTGTTGTGATTTAGTCCACTGCGGCCGTGTATCAAATCATATACAACTAGGTAAAAACAACAAGATACACCTCCCCCGTTTTCGCTTTGAAGAAAGAAGAGCGTGGCCCCTTATGAGCAGCCTATAGTTGGAAGCAAAAACAAATACAATCAACCTGTATATAACGGCCCTGTATATAGCGGTCACCCCATACTACGGCTACTGAACAACTCTCCGAATTTATTGCCATATATGTTCTGTAAAGTTGATCTTTATAAAGCGGGCACCTTCTCTATAGCGGATGCGGTCACCCTTTAGATTCCCCAGATGTAGACAGAAACATGAATGCTAGCGAAATCGTCAAATCATTTAACCTGTTCATGGCAATCGAGTGGGGAAACTACAAGCGTTGAACGAACTCAACATCCAGTTGAATTTAAAGGAAACTTATATAGAGCGGTCATTCAAGGGTGACAGTTATATACGTAGCAACTTCCCCGCAACATGGTTAAAGAGAGGATAATCCTCTCTGACTTGTTAATACGACTAAAGTCGTTGACACTGTTATTGCTACACAGACTTTTATTATAAACTTTTATTAGAAAAGTTAGAAACTAACTTTTATTAGAAATTACATATTTTCTCTACTTTTGTGGTCGTTTTTGAACAAACAAAGAAATAGTCAAAAGAAGAAAATATCACGTACTGCTGTGTAATTCGCAACGAAGAAGTTTCAGATAACTGAGCGCTGCCCTCAAATAAGCACCGAAGTGTTAGTCGAGAAAAATGGTAACCAAATCTTAACAGAAGTGTGTATAACAAGTTGCGAAAACAAACCATCTTTCAACTATGGAGGAATACATAGAATAAAAGGATACTACTAATCCTTGATCACACCACGTGATCGCTAGCTGAAACAGTTTTAACTTTGCAAACGCTTTCGCTCCTATAATCGTAAAAATAAAGCATGATGAAAACATTTCTTATGTCTTACTCCCTTCCTTCCTGCCATTTCTCAAAATAGCTCTACAGTGTTCGTATAGTGTATCAGTATCTTTGTATGTCTGTCGCAGTGTGATGAACCAGAAGCATATAATCCTTCAGGATGGACTAATAAGTTTTCTATAGCGATGAGGATAGACACAATTGTGCGCAACTTTCGTGATTTCAGTTGTCATTTTGTTACTTTCATCACTTTCATGTACAGCAATGGCCAATTTCCGGACAATTTCAAACAATAAGCCACTCTAAAATTAAGTCGGGGGTTAAAAGGGTACATTCGCGGTACAGTTACACTAAAGAATCCGTAACAGCTCATGCACCTCATACGAGCCTAATATGTGTTCAAGAGAATGAAGAACTATGCCGTTAAAGACTAATCGCAATTAGCCTACGAGTAAAAACAGTAGTTGCCATTTTTGTGCTATCAAAGAGCCCGTGAGCAAACAAAATTTGATGATGACTTTGTTAAGCTCTGGACTCCAAATCTAAACTTCAATTTCTTCCATGTTATTTAAAAGTTTGAACTTTAATTGTAGCCATTTGAACGTTTTTCAGGAAACAAATTAAATAAAGGCTACGGTGTTTTCAGAAGAACGTGGTAATTAGGATGCTTTACCAACATCGCAGGTACATGTACTAGCATAATTCAACCCTGTCTGTTTCTTAGATACGAGTAAGTTTATAAACCTCTGAAATCACCTGTTATTATTGGTTTGATTGATAATGGTCGAATGTCCCTGGCGTTTTTGGCATCTTCCAGTGAGTGAATGTAATTTCCTATGAACGTTGAAAATATAAACAAACAAAAAGTTACTCAGAGCAAACGCAGCGAAGCAAATTCAAAGCAAATAAGATCAGTGAAAACTGACAAGCCTCTGACGGATCATTCCAAAGCAAGTAAAAAATATTCAACATCAGTGGTTAACCAATCAGAAAGTAGGCAATATTTCTTTACTTTCTAAATACAAGT